AAATCCATCTAAAGTCAACTTTGCCTGAGGGAGTTGAAATCTTAGTTTCTTATGATTATGAAGGCAAAATTGTACTTAGATGTGTTCTTCACACATCCAAGTTGTTTATGAATGACCTTTTTGTGCATAGAATCACATGAAAATAATGAAAATATGGTTGCCATGGTAACTAAAAAGGGAAAATATTTACTTTATTTTCTTATACGTTTTAACAAAACTTCATAGTACTGATGATATAACACCAGTAATGTTATTGCTGATATCACAAACACAAGAAATAAATTCTGGTTGCCATGGTAACAGTTTACAGATTACAATTCATATTATCATTTTTCGTGTCAAGGTTCAGAACTTTCATAAACATAATACTGCTTTTATCAGTTGTTTTACTATACAATCTGTACAAACAAAAGCTTGATATGTCAACTACCTCAAGTTATTTGTAAAACCACTACATAGTTCTACTTTTTTGTCACCAACTTATGTTATATTTAACTAATGTTATGTTTAACCGACCAACATTTCCGGAGTAAACATTATTTTTCAATTAGATATTCAAAAAATAGAATAACAAAAATACCGAACTCCAAGGAAAAATCAAAACGGAAAGTTCCTTAACAAATGGCAAAATCAAAAGCTTAAACACATCAAACGAATGGAAAACAACTATCATATTGCTGACTTTGTACAGGCATTTCCTTATGTAGAAAATGATGGATTAAACCTGGTTTTATTGCTAGCCAAACCTTTCACTTGTATGACAGTCGCGTAAAATTCCATTATATTGACAACAATGTGTGAGCAAAACAAAGAGACATAATAGGTAAACATTTAAACAATTGGGGTACAGCAGTCAACATTATTATCTTCATCACTATAAGAACAAACAACTATGTCCACAAAGAAAAACAAAATGGCATATAGACACTCTATTATGGACAATGCACATAAGCAAAAATGAAAGACAAGTATACAAAAAATTACCATTGATAGCACAATAACACAATTGTGGGATATATAAATACCGAGTCATGCTAAAAGGATATTACCAAAAATTGACTTAACAGTAAAGATTAAAAATATACTAAAACAAATAAAACGAACACTGTAACACGTAATTAAGATGATAAACAACGTCAGTACCTAGAATATATACTTTAAAACCATCATATATTATTGGTGAAGTTGATACTGAATATTTATCAGCAGGTCTTGGTATCTTCCAATGATTTTTTTTGGAAAAAAACTTGTGTTACTTTCATCAAAACTTTTTATATTTGCAATACGAATTTGAGAAATATTAAATTAAACCATGAAACACCAACATATCATACTTCCATTACCACCCCCCCCCCCCCCCAAAAAAAACCCTTCCCGAATAAAAGAAAAAGAATAGAGGAAAAACAACTAAACCTGGATTTTCTTAAGAAGCAAAATTAAAGAAAAACTAAGATTACTGTGGTATGTTTATTATGCATGGAATAAAATTTTTACATCTTCAGCAATGTTGGAATGAAACAAGAAACTGATATGGCTAGGTATCATTGGAACTGTACTCTAAGATGAAGTAAAATCCCCACATCCTGGTTTAATGTTGGAATATGCTAGTGACTGCAATACAGGGGACCAAAAAAAATTTTCTAATCCTACAGTGTAAATACATGCATATTTGGACATCAGGATCAAAAGTATAGTAGTTTTACATAGATATTTTGAACTATCTTTGAGTTGTTGCAATGACATGGTAGTACATGTAGCTGGAATCAATAATTTTCTTGAATTCATTGTGGCAATACTTTAGAAAACTCATGATCATTAGTCTTGATTATTTGTATACTATCAACATCCACATTTGCATATTAGGATCTAACAATACACTCACATCCATGTTGATATGTAATCAATCATGTAAATGATTTTCAATGGCAAGGTAGGTATCTGTAAGGGTTAAAATTTTATAGGCTCAAAGAGGCAGGTCTCTGGGAAAAAGTCAAAGCATTCTACTCACATGTACAGACAATATGAACAAAAAACATCCTACCCACTTACACATCTGGATATAAGATTTTCTGAATCTAACACTGAAATAAGTTTCATATACATACGATAAACCATGTAGGAGGAGTTGTGATGGCAAGGTCATTTCTGAAAAGGGTACACATTTTGAAGGTGAAATGGGCATACATGTAATTTTGAACAAAATCTTTCACATGTTGATATTTTTATACCATGATAATTTATACTATAAAGTTTAAAGTGAATCAGTCAATAGATACAGAAGACATGTTAGTCTAGACAGATCCCTATTTAACACCCCATCCCCCACTGTGTTCATAGGGTATACAAATATCTGTAATTTTGAGCAAACCAAAAATTAGCTGTCGTTCACCTGGATTTATGTTATTCTGCAAAAATGGCTACTCTCCAACATTGCAGGCTAGATTATAATTCGTGACTAAAATCTCTTATTTTTTTATTTTACTTTGTATTGCTGATAATTTTCTCACTTTACAGTTTCTCTCTATCTATTATAGTTTTATTATTGGTTTCCTCCAACCACAACAAGGGTACTATTGTAATTCAAAGGAAATATATCTAATAAGAAGTTAACTGAAAATTTCAACTATGTTGACATATTTTTATATCCTTTTTTGCTAATCGTTTTTGCTGTTTATAGTTTTTCTCTATAGTCTCGTTTTTCCCCAAAATTTTATTTAAAGGGTTACAATCATCATTTAAGGGGATAAACTCCTATCAGGAGACGACTGACAATTTTGGCTATATTGAACTATTTGTAGATCTTGTCTTCCTGTTCTTTTTTGCTGTTTACAGTTTTTCTTTTAATAATATAGTTTGGCCAAAAACAGGTAAAAATCATTATTAAAAGGCAATAATTCCATAACTTTCGGTTATGTTGATATGTTTTCAGATCCTGTCCTGCTGATCATTTCTGCTATTGAAGTATATCTCTTATTTGTTATAGCGTTTATGATTATTTGGAAAACAAATGTAAATGGTTACAGGCAAATAAAAATCCATGGAGTAGACTGTAGATTTCAGCAATGTTGACTTATTTGTAGATCTTGTCTTATCTTGCCGATAAAGTTTCAAACTATCTATTGTTGTTTTCACGAAAATAGACAATACTAAAAAAATAGTAAAAAGTATCATTTAAGGACATAACCATTAAAAGGAGTAATCTGAAGATTTCTGCCTTAATGGACAGTGAGAAATTCTGATCATTTCCGTCCAGTGAGATTTTTTTCTACATTGTATCTACCTTTTTCAAGATAGAAACAAACTTTCATTTTACCCCATCTTCTATTTTTAACCATGTAGGCCATGTTGGCTGAAAGACCGGGTCATCTGACACATTTTCTAACTAGATACTCATAAGAGCAATGTGATAAAAATTCAGATCCCTAGTCAACACTCTTCTCTACATTCTGTTCTGCTCAACATAAACAAGTAGTAAAATATTTTTGTCTCATGAATATTCATCTCACACTTGTATCTCTTTTCATATACTGGTACATGTATAAATTAAAATTACATTATAAAAGATCAGAGGGATTACAGAAACAATGAAAATAACTTTTTTTGGTATTATATTGATAATCTTCAATCCAGTTTTCTTTTCTTGCACTGCTGCTCAAATCTAATTGTTCAAAATTGCATATGCTACGTATGTACATATATTAAAAATTATAGTTTTCTAACACCTTCTGTATTGTACTGTACAAATATCGAAATTTGTGGACACAGAATGCAGATCTTCATGTGGAAATGCTATCAACCCTCAAAACAATCACGACTAATGTCATAATTAGTAGTATCATCCATGTACTTGTTGCAACACAGTTGACATATTTAAAACATTCATGAATTGTACTAATAAAAAGTCCTTCCTGTGAAATGTCGAATCAGAAATAAATTTTCATGTCACAGATTTCATTATATATATTAGTCAGTCGATGACAAACTGAAAAGGACAAGGAACAGCAATAAAAGCGCTGTATCTTTGCTTTTTGTGTTTTGCTGTGCATGTACTAATTTTGGTCCTTTGAACTTTGAAAACAACGTTGGTAACTGCTCCTTCCTCTAACAGTACGTCCCACGACGAACGCTATCTGTTGGTATGACGATTAAAGATTGTTCAATTCATACATATCCAAAACCTATCCAGATGTCGATATCTTCGATATCGACAATGTCTACACGATATCGATGAACTTATACACTCATGACATAACCAGATGTCGATTTTGATGAAGACACCAATGACAAAACCTGATATCGATACCGACAATGTCGACATCTTCGATGTCGATAATGTCGACTCGATATCGATGATGACTTAAGATAATGAAATAAAAATTTGACATATCAAGCTGATGAAATTGAGACCGAATATAAAAATTAATATAGAGATAGATGATGGCTGAATTGTAGTCAATTAATTTTTTTAAAAGACAGTTGTAAAACTTAAATATAGAGGATGTAAACTGGTTCCCATTTCAAACATAGAAAATATGGTCTATTTATTACTTGAAATTAGATTTTAACTTTATTTGAATAGTTTCGAGTACTCTTAGATTGATAGGGAAGGGGTTAGCGCTCACAAACATGTTTAATAATTAAGACTAACCCATAAATGATATGCCGAAAAAGAAAGTCATGCATTAATAATAAAGATTGCTATGACAATAAAACTAATTCTTAAATACAACCAATCAAGAGATTTTTTGAGCACTTTACAATATTTTAAGGTTGTAATATAATGATAACCCTTTCACTAATGTTCGGACTTAATCATGAAGAAAGGGATTATCATTCTTTTACATATACTAAGATTGTGCATTCATTGCAGTGACTGTGTAATCTATCTACATTGTAAGCTTGTCAAGAACAAAGAGATCGTTCAAAACTTGACCAGTTAATCCGTTACTCACTTTTAAGCTGTCAAAACCCAAATTTCAAATTTGCAACATAATACTCAATCAAATCAAATCATTTTATTGGTGTAAAATCCAAATATTGGGTTGTTACCAAGACAAAAATGACTATATTTACAAACATACAATATTCAAAGTTAACCAACATTCATATTATATAAGTATATCATATATTTAGATATTTTGGAGGAGGTGATACTTTTGCAAGTTCGAAAATAAAAGTACAATATTCTTAATGATATTGCTATGAAATATAACAAAACAAATATATAAAATTATGTTAAAAAAAAATATTATTAATCACAAATTTGTATTACACAATTCTAGTTTTTCTTCTAAGCTAGACTATTTCTTAGAACAAATAAATCATTAACCCCTTTAAGGATGTACTTAGGTCAGGTTTGGGAATTTTTGTCAGATGTTCGGACTCCTTGATTTTTTTTCCTACGATACAGAGTAAAATATTTTGCCCCATAACACCCGTTTTATATTCATATAAGGCTTAAATAGCTCATGAAAGGTCATTTACTAAAATTTAAGCAGATTCTAGAATTCTTTTCTTTCGACTTGAGACCCAAATAATACCAATGCAAATATAAGGTAAAAGTCCGAGTCAGCATTTTCCCGCCATTTAAAAAAAATTAAATATCTCGAAAAGGAGCTCAATAACCTGTCAATATTTTTGTAACTTATTTTGTTTCTTAATTAATGCTCTTCTGACTTATAGTATCAATTTTGAATTCTAGATTTTTTTAATTTCACCTAAGTAACAATAATTTTAGTTATGTCATACTCATTAAATGTAAAAATAAATGTAAATTTTTCCTCATCAGATATTTTGTTGAAAGATGGGAGTATAGTCTCTACTTCCTGAAAAAGTTTTTGCCTACGTTTTTCTAAATTTGACATTTTAAAGCAAAATGAAATTCATCTTCAATCCCATTTTTACAGAAAAGACATCAGAAAAAATACTTGTATAATTAAATATCCATTTCGACATAAAATTGAGAATGGAAATGGGGAATGCGTCAAAACTTGCAGACAACAACCCGACCAAAGAGCACAAAACAGCCGAAGGCCACCAATGGGTCTTCAACACAACGAGGAAATCCCGCACCCGGAGGCGGGCTTCAGCTGGCCCCTAAACAAAAGCGTGTACTAGTTCAATGAAAATGGACGTCACACTAAACTCCAAAACATATAAATGAACAAAATATAAAAAATAACAAAAATAACAAAGGCCAGAGGCTCCTGACTTGGGACAAGCGCAAAAATGCGGCAGGGTTAAACATGTTTTGTGAGATCGCAACCCTCCCCTATACCTCTAGCCAATGTAGAATAAACAAACACACACAATACGCACAGTAAAACTCAGTTTAAAAGAAGATCGAGTCCGATGTCAGAATAGGTAACAAAGAAACTAAGCAAAAAGACAATGATACATAAATTAACAAAGGACTACTAGCAGTTACTGACATGCCAGCTCCAGACCTCAATTAAACTGATTGAAAGATTACGTCTTCATCATATGAAAATCAAACACAATCCCTCCCGTTAGGGGTTTAATATCATACCATCATAAAATATATGAGAAGAACATAACCCGTATCATGCCAACAACTGGTTTTAGAATATATGTGTTTCTTTCCGATGCAAAGACCCTATGAGTGAATCAATAGTATACTAAAATATGCCATCTTTAATGACCTGACAACAGTATCTTAATTATACCCCTTCTGAATAAGTCTGTTTAAAGGTTTGGTAGGCTTTTGAGGTGAGTGCCGACATTTTTGTGCTTTGTATAGAATATTACCATAAAAGATTGGATGTGAAATACCTGAACGTATAAGATGTCTACTATTCAAACTTTGGTTGGACAAATATTAAAACGCTGCCACTTGTTTTATGATTACTACTTAATTTTTAAATTTGCTTCAATTTTATATTTAACTTTTCATGATAAAAAGATATAAAAAAACACAATATATCTCTATCATGAACATTGCCAGTCCATTAAGAAACGGTAACATTTTTCCGAAATTCCCTCTGAATATTTTCCTATAATATACTATGACTATACAGTATAATAGACAATATAAAAATGTTGCATGTAACGAAAGATCCAAACAAAATAAAGACACAAGGCTCATTTCCGTCCAGTCTATAAATGCTGATTCCACTGTAAGTGTACCATATGTTCCATTATAAGTTGTTATATTTTGGTCAGTATGACATTCTACAGAGAAATCGGTACCACTCTTATATGTAATATTATAGGCCAAACTTGTACATGAGATATTTGCAGAACTAAATTCTGTACAATTTGAAGTTGATATATTTAGTGTTTTTATGTTGTGCATGGAATGAAAAATGTCGAATTTTGTGCCCTTAGTAGATGGGACTAATACAAAAATCAATGAAAAAATAAAAACAATTGGAAGGAACAATAACATTTGAAAAACTATATATGCTCTTTTAGTACAACGCACTGAGGCTACAGTTGTAAAATATGGTAAAAATGTCATAATTTTTATACATATCGAACACAAAAGAACAGCGTACATCATTGAATACAAAAACCTGTATATTATTTGAATGTATACAAATGGACCAAAAAATATGAAAAAAACACACCCTAGTAGTATTAGTCCTAAAAACAAAAGAAAGAATCGCCGAAGGAGATCTGAATACCTCATGTTAAACGTTATGAATAATAACCAAAGAAACACAACGCTGAGTAATATGACGTTTATGCTTCTCGTCACCTGCATCAATGTAATTTTACCAGATTCAGCTTCTTTTCCAATGCAAAAAACTGTATTTTGACTTTCCTTTTTAAGTACAAAGGAAAGATATATTGCTAGGCCTATAGTCGCTCCAAATAAAAAGGTCATGCCCTTAACAAATCCTTTATACATCAACTTAACTACTTGTCTATATTTTTCACTGTTGTCTATGATTTTGGATGTATCACAACTACTTTTAATTAACTCTATTGCTGAAGTGCCCCTATCATTAAATAAATAAGGATTGGCGCCATTCTCCATCAATGTGTCTATACAATAAGTGCTTTCCTTTATGAAAAGGCTCCTGTTTAAAACAGAATGTAATGGTGTATTACCCTCCATGTCTGGCATGTTTACAAGGTCACGACAAATGTTTTTAAAAGAATTTTGTTGCGTGATATTAAAACACAGGGTCCTAAATGCCGACATAGGTGTTTTTCTATACTCTCTCCCCTCCTCTGCATTTCGATTAGTCTCTAGACGCTGGTTCCGAGAGGGATGCGTGAGCAACAATTTTGTTACACTTTCACTCGTTGTGTAATGTAAAGGGGTTCTATCAAAAGCATCAAGAACCTTTATTTCAGCTTTATGACACAACAGAACAGTAAGTATCTCGACATTATTGTTTATAACTGCTAGATGGACACCAGTTAGTCCGTTATTGTCAGCTATGTTTAATTTTGGTGTCGGCTTTCTACTCAAATACTCTCTTTGATCACATTCTGTAAAGTCAATATCGGAATCATCACTTTTGGGCAACTCTTCATTGAATAAAACCTTCACAGCTTCTAAATTATTTAATAATACAGCGTAATGTAGGACTGTCCATCCGCTCTTTGTTTTCGAATCAATATTTTCTGATCGAATATTTGATTTCAAATTATTTAACTCGTTATGTCGGACAGCTTTATGAAGTTCGGTTTGGTTTAAATCATTATCAAGAATCAAACTAGTTAATTCGGGTTTATTTGAAGTAACGGCAATTGGGATATTCATTGTAAACCATCCTCGTAGGTTTACTTTTGCCCCATTTCTCAACAGTAAGCATACCATATCATAGCTGCCTGACTTAACTGCTATATATAAAGGTGTTTCCCAAAATTCGGAAAAGCAGTTAACATCTGCATCAGCAGAAATTAAGTTGCTTACAATATCTAAGCTACCCCCAAGAACAGCTAGAGGAAAAAAGGACTTAACTGAGGGTAGAAATATAAAATCTCTGCCTAGAATTGAATTACGATCGACAGTTGTCATCTCACTCCATACATATTGAAAGAATTCATAGCAGCCAAAGGCCACACTCCAGTACATAAGTGTACTTCTGAAAGGTACAGCCTCTATAACTCGACTAATAGCATCTTTTGTATCTTGTAATTCATCATTTAAAAGAATCTTTGAAATTTTGTCTATGATAGAATGATTGGTGCTCTTTTTTCGCTCGGAACTAACAGTCTTCGAAAAAGTATTTTTTGATCCCAGTATGCTCTGATTTTTTTTAGAATGAGTTCCAAGTATACGAACAAAGTCACTATTCTTAAATAGGCGACTCATCAACACACTGGAAAATCTCCCATTGTTTAATTCAGTCAGTACTCTATCATACAACGGTTTAAGACGATCCTCATTCAATTCATCTTCATTAATAATCACAATATTTTCATCGGCATTTTCATTCAGGTTTTCATTGGAATGAAGTCTGACTCGATCTCTAATAAACAAAATATCACACTCTGAAAACATTACTCTGGGATCAAACGTATAGAAATGACAGCCGGTAGTCTCTTCAAGAGCATCGTGAATAAACCGGAAATCGTTTTTGTCCTGAGTGAAATACGATCCTATAGCAGAAAGAGCGCTTTCCTCAAGATCTTTTTTATGCATGTTCAGGCCGCAAGTTTGCATTATTCTGTATATTTTTGCATCATATTCATGTGAGTCAATATCAAATATTCTTCTACTAAATGAACCATTGTGCAACATACATATCACCAAAATGCAGTATAGCTTCTTATTTTCATTACTAATTCTATCAAGTTCATTCCTTAACAGTGATAACGGTTCCCTAAAGAATGCTATTCTTTTTCTGAATCTTTCCTCATCATTTGAAACTAATTTGCAAAGAAGAGGAAATGCATAATTCGTTTCACACATTTTCTCAACCTCCTCTGATGTAATTTCTTTTTCTAAGTTATTTCTCTCAAGATGTTTAATCAATATTTTCTGCTTTTCTTCCTTTGAAAGAACATTAGACTCGTGCTCTAAATTAATGACTTCTTTATTTAAAATTGTCGATGCATTTTTAAATCTTTTGAGGACTGCAATTTGTGATCTCAGTGTACACAATATTATGTCAATACATCGTTCTGTTTCCAAGCAGCTTATTAGCTTTTCGTTTATTCTTTCCCATTTATCCAACAGTGTCGGACTTAAATCGTATTTACCAAGGACGTCATCAATAAGAAAAACTTGTCTTTTATTTGTTCTGTATTTTATTAAATCATCTGGACACTCTACAGGAACAATTTCAAAGCCCTTTTCTTTAAATTGTAATGCGATATGTCGGATGGTAGCAGTCTTTCCTGATCCTGAATTTGATGTCACCAAAATACACCTACATTTCTTTACTGTAGCATAAACAAGTTCGGTTCCCTTTGTTTCATAAAAACTTTGGTCATCTTTTATCCATGTTTCAACCAAAGTTGCATTTGCGTCTGAAAATTCCATATATATAATCAGTATAATTGTTATTGACATATTGACCAGAAACTCCAAATAAGGACATTTTCCACATTAGTAAGGTTATAAAATATCGGACATAACAAAATAAAAAACCTGTATATTTAAATGTTCAATAGTTCCTAACATCCTGATCGTGCAGAAATTTCGAATGATTTCATATAGAAGCATATATTCAAGGAATGAATTGAAACATAAAACTTGGTTATTTTCTAATTAGCAATGAGCATACCTCTCTAGATGTGAGACGTAATCACAAACTTGAACATGTAAACAATGAAAATATTTCAAAGTCAATAGACCATGAATAAGGGTACGGGTCAAAATAGTATCCATGGAAATGAGACGTGCCATTGCTAATACAACTGCATAGCAACTTTAAACTGACCACACGAAGCAAACGTTTAAAAGTAAATAGATCATGACTTTGGAGGCGAGGCCAAATAATCTCCATAAAAATAAAAAGTGCCAAGGTAATATACCACTGCATTCTCAATATCATTAAACTACCACTAATGGTTCCCTTTACATTGAACTAATCACAAACTACCACAATGTTCAGCGAAAACAGCACGCTTAGTCTCGCTTATTCGACTTCATCGAGGCGAGACAAAAATTCAAACTCGTACGGTGTAGTGTATGTCTAACAACATTTTGAAATTAGAAATGAGGTTGTCAAGGCTTACTTCGGTAATGGAACGAACAACTTAACATGCACCATCAATTTGATGTTTGGGTATTTTCCACATTATTATGGGCCATAAATGTCAATGTCAAAAGTTTCATTTAATGCCGTTGTGCATAATTTACACAGGAGATTTAGCTAGCTATAAAACCAGGTTTAACACACAATTTCTCACGGTAAAAGCCTGTACCAAGACAGGAATATGACAGTTGTTTTCACTTGTTCCGTTGGTTGATAGCGTTCAATTTTGTCAGTTTTTATGGACTTCTCATTTTTTTATTTGTCTTAGAGTTCGGTAATTTCGTTATACTTTAATATTAATAAACCGCTTTTGAATCGACTAATCGGCTGTGTTTGATTGCGTCATATTTAAAGTGTCACTTTTATTGTCATATGAGCAAACAGATTTTGAATACATATATATTTTTAAAACAGATTTAAATGTCTTAGGGCCACAACTTCTGCAACAATCGCCCAACTGTAAAAAACTCAATGTAACTTGTTCTCATAAAATAACTGTATCTTAAAACAGAAATTCAGTTATGCGGAAAACTGATGTTTTAAAACAATTTTCAACCTCATAAGACCACAACGTCTGCAACAATCAAAGCAACTGTTACAAAAGATAAACTTAATCTGCAACTGATGATATGACTCAACATCTACCCAATTGATGCATAACAGAGAAATCTGGTATTCTCAAGCAATTTTCAATGACCATACATTTTTGTACCACTACGTCCACAAAGTTATCTAAACCGTAACACTATGATTTAATATCGTTACAGATAAATCACACAATCAGCTCGAAATTCGATTTTTGTCTGCAATGTTTTATATTCCAACCACAGGCGCTTGGGTATATGATACAGAAATTTAAAAAAAAAATTTTTTTTTGTTGATTAAAATATTCAATTTTCTATATTTATACTACATATCTATCACTACTGCGCATGTCTCACCTAGTTTCGAGTGATTTTACCAACTTTGAGACAAACCCCCATTTTACTATCCACACTAACTTAGTGTGGAGTTCGAACCCCGCTCTTTGCAGGTGCATTCAACCCCGATCTTTATTGACTTGGATTGCCACTTTTCCTGGTTCTACTGCTTCATACACTTATACAAACTGACAGTCATGAGTGTTTAAAGTAGCGATTAAAAATACATCAATCAATCTAACCAAGTAAGCAGAATATCTGCCCTTTTCCGATATGTCTTTATTTTTCAATGAGTCTTCAATGGCTGTCCAAATTTCCCGCCCTTTCCCTGGCGGCCTGCTTTGCCGAACCTACTTATCGTATTTATTGTTAATTTGTTCTCGTACCGAATGGGGATGAAATATTTACCACTTGACGTTAAGCAAGGATTTATTCAATCTCAGCAATTGTTCTAACTATGATGGAAAACAGTACCGAAAAGTTTAGCGTTTCTGATTGAACAAAGGAAGGACGGACATCAAGTATATCAGCCACATTTGGCTTCGCCGATAGGGGACTAAAATGACGACAGGCAATCAACAGTTAACAAAACACTTATTGTTTTCACCTAGAAATGTTTTGAAGTCCTCCTAAACAATAATCACCTCATTGTAGTGATAAATTGTTTGTTTGCTTAATGCGGAAGGGAAATTATCAAATTCATTCCGGACGAGAACACATTTAACAATAAATCAACTGAGTAAGTTCTTTTATCAGAATGGATAGAGCAGGATGAAGGGCAGGAATTTCGGACTTGAAAAACAGGGTTTGTTGGACAGACCCTATATAGACTTATCGGATTGGTTCTATTACGTACAGAAAGCTTGACACTCTTCCAATACGGGACAATCAATAACCATTTCCATTTGGACAAGACTTAGCTGCGTATTCATACATCCCACGCCATCCCGTCTCCTTCGTTTGGTTCTTGCTGTCGGACTGGAGAAGATCAGAAGACTATCAGTATTTCTATTCATAAGTCAACCAGTCAACCAATTTATTGACCCATTATAGTCAAAAAGTCAACACATCACAAGATACTAAAAGTTTTAGACAAAATCACACCATACTTCCTCTACAATTAACATGAACGTGCAATAGAGATAAAGAAAAATAGCTTGACTAAAAATAGGTGACGATTTAATCTGATAAAATTGAAACAAACCTGCAATGTTTTTCGGAAGATTTCCTTCCCTGTAATGAGATAAATCACTTTCTATCTGTTCTTTTTCCTTTACACAAATAGATAAAACACATTCTATCTGTTCTTTTTCCTGTTCACATTCCAGGAATTGTTTTTTCATATGCTTGAGTTCTGCGTTTGCTAATGTTTTTGCTTGTTCTCCATCAAGATCGTAATTCAAGATTTCGGTGACCTCGTGTGGTCTTTGGCCGTTGTTTAAAGATGTCAATGCCTAAAATAGGGAGATTATAGATTTCTGAAGTAATTGTTGAAAATCTAGTCTGTAAAAGGACATAACTTTTTTTAAATTTCATCCCATAGACATTGGGCATAAATCAGCTTTTCCACTATTCGTCTTTAGAATGTCAAATTTTTATTGAAGACCTTCCAACTTTCAATATTTTATGCCACTTTAACAACTGCGTTAAATTTAATACTATTTGAATGTAGAATAGCCTCTCATAATTTAAATTGAATATTTAATAAAATTGACCATATAGTTCAAACAATATTACTAAAATTCACTAAAATTTGTCAAATAATAACAATGTTTTCTATAGGTCTGCTCATATGTTTGTGTGTATAATTCACCATTTAGTAAATTATAATAAATGAAATAATTATTTGATTCTCCTAAGATCCTGTTTAAAGTGCATTCGATACATAATACAAGGAGTACAATCAACGTACAAATCGACAGCTGATGCCACCCATGTATTCTAGAATTCGTTTTTTTTTTTTAATTTCATGTTTAAATTATAATGAATGTTATCTGAACAAATGCTCTGGTTGTTACAACGTACCTTGTCAACTCGGGTCCATTTGTCTGTGAATTCATTGGTATCCATAGAAGTTACAGTCATATGGGCCAACTGATTCCTGTACCACTTTAGGGTAGCCAAGTACGCTCCCGGTACCGTATCATTCGGAAGCGGAAGTTGATCCCATCCATTGGAGGGTGTTAATAAACATCCTAGATTGCGCAGAAGACATATCATCAATGTCAGATCAAAGTCTTTAGACGAGGTTGCTAGAAAAAATAATTAAGGACGTAAAGAAGAAGGGTTTATTTTCGCGGAATTAGTTCACATTTGTGTAATTTTCAAAAAGTTCTTCAATACTTTAAAAAGTTACAGTATTACACCAATAAATTATACTTTGAGGTAATAACAACATTATGTCGTAGTTCTGAACATTTCAATGAGTGTGATAATACTTCACTAGAGATAAATTAAATTGCACTATATGATAAAATTCAAAATTTTTACAATAGCTTGGAATGAGTGAAAGTTGGTTTTTGGGTAAAAACAACAACTGTTATCTTGTATTTAGGCAATAATGGTATTATATGTGTTTGAGGAACAATTCCTGACATTTGCAATGACATTTACAGACCCCAGAGCGTTTATATTATAAAAAAGTGGTCCCTCCTCGTAATTTCTTGGGGGATATATGTACAATATTTTTCGATGTATACGATGTTGTCTGCTTTCAGAGCCAATAGGAAGACTTAGTATAGTTTCAGAGAAGTTGGGATTAAAATAAAACAATTTTTTCAAACCAACTGTAAATGTGATCTTCCTTTCCCATCAACAGGCAAACTATCGATTAACTGATTGATTGTTGATTGTGTAACGTCCAGTGACAAATATAATATTCAACGAGAAAGACCTTGTGTAAAGTGTATGAGATGATTGAACTTCAAGTGACATCTATCTCAAATACTTATTCTAACACTATTAACAGATACCAAACCAAGAAAAGGCCGGATGGAGACGATTTCTCCTTTTAATTATCCTTGAAACGGGTCGCTTGGAATACAAATATTTTAGGGACGTGCGACTTATTTATCTGTATGTAGATTATGATAGTTTTGAAAATATGCGGTATTAGATAAAAAAATATCATAATATTGCGTTTTCGTTTATAGACCACGTTATTTTCTTTTTTTAGCACCCTTGTGTCTTCATTTACATGCATCAGGAGACTCAGTAGTTTCGGGTAAGATTTAGGGTTCAGTTTAGGCTTTAGTTTACATACCTAATGCGGGTGTCACACATAACCGATTATTGCTCCCGTTTGAGACCACACAGCGATACGACACGAAAAGTGAAAAAGTCCGATTACTATCCTCAATGATCTGCAATGTCCTATCATTGTCTGAATGCAGTCGCATGAGTTCGTAACATCGTCCTATGGATCGAAAATGGTCCGGAAAGGTCGGTCAAGCACTCCCGACAGTTGGGTGTGTTCCGTAACATTCGGGAAGCTCAGCGGATTTTCTCTAGTCAAATTACAATCGAAGCCTTGTCGTGACTGCAGATTCTGCTGAGTCGGATCAAAATCGTAGCAATGTCATGCGTCGGTTCACTGTCTGGTCTCTATCGGATCGCATTTGGAGAATTATGACTTTGTCGGGACAAATTTTATCTTTTTACTACCATGCGAAAAATACCAATCAGGTCAGAATCCATTTTTTTATCATGCGAAAAGGATTGAGAACGGGATAATTGGGAAGCTTCCTGAACAATATCTGATTGTTGTCGAGTTTAGATAAATGAAGCCACAAATCGCGGGATCCTGATCCGACTTTTGACAATTCGTAATTGTGAATAATCCTTCCTATCAAGGACTGCAGTAAGAATCCTTATGTGTGACTGAGGCTTAATTGTTTATTCTAGTTTATGGTTTATTGACTTTAGTGTTAGGGTTAGGTATGGATAAGTGTAAGTTTTAGGGGTTCGGTAAATTTCTTGACGGTCAATGTGGCTTTGGTCTATAAACAATTATTCAACAAAACACCAAATTAATGATTTGTTAATTTGTTGTGCCTGCATTTATTTTAATTTAAATTTGACTTTGGTTTTATATTTCAATTCCCATTTCAATTTCAACGAGGCGGAGAACGACAGAGCGATAACAACTTTTGAGATCGAATTTATTCTCCGAACATTCACAAAAAATTAAATAAAATGAGACATCTTCATTTGATATTGTCACACCCCCTCACCCACCTATTACACAATTGTGTACGGTATCAGGTCGTTCCGGCCCCAAGTCGATCGGGCTCATGATAAGATAAATAAGTACTACAAAAGTCCGAGAGTAATGTAATTTTATTTGACATGGTGTTGTCAGTTTGTCTTTGTCTCGAGATTTTAAATGTCACCTAGCCTTATGTATCTTCTGCTTTCTTTTTTATTACAAAGTTGACCTTTTATCTATTGTTTACGTATTCTGTATGATTTTCGATCCATTAGCGCCTATCTAAAAAGAAACTCTAAATAGATCCATGGCGTTAAAACACTAAATCCCTGGGATGTGTTTTAATTGATTGAAGTCTCTGATGCCTGATTTTCTATTGATTATTGTTTTTGGCTCTTAACTAGCTTTCAGTAACTTCGAGTACTCTCAAATCGTACTTTCGTGTTAATTTGACCTGTTGACACAATTTGTAATGCATTTCTGTAATTCAATGTTTACTTATTTTGTATTTTATCTCGTCTCACTATTTTTAATATATACCACCTTTGTTAAGTATTTAGTATAACAATAAATTTTCACTTCTGTAGTCGTACTCTGAACAACAAATTCATTATTTTGTAAAAAATGCTTACTTCCGTACTCCTAACAACAAAATTATTATATTTAAATTTACCTTTGTACGTTGTTTTATTTAACGCCATCCCAGGTAAGAGTTTTCTTATTGACACTCTTCCTACAACTTTTTTATTACTACCTGTAACGTCTATGTTATATAGGCACCTACGTTTTAATATTATATTTATATTGTGTCATAGATCAAACTTATTCGTTCAGTGTTTGTTACTTGTTTTTGTTTAAATGTCTTTTTGATCGAGTTAAGCCATTTCAATTGATATTTTATAGTGTGTCTTTTTATGTTGTAATGTTACACTACTGTCTCAGGTTAAGGTGAAGGTTGGCACCTGTTAAAACGTTTAAACCCGCTGCATTTTTATGCACCTGTCCTAAGTCAGGAGCCTGTTGTTCAGTGGTTGTTGTTTGTTGGTGTGGTTCATAAGTGTTTCTCGTTTTTTATATAGATTAGACCGTTGGTTTTCCTGTTTGAATTGTTTTACACTAGTCATTTTGGGGCCCTTTATAGTCTGCTGTTCTGTGTGAGCCAAGGCTCCGTATAGAAGGCCGTACTTTGACCTATAATTGTTAACTTTTTATACATTGTGACTTGGATAGAGAGTTGTCTCATTGGCACTCATAAAACATCTTCTTATTTATATAGAAAAACTATCAGTTGTATTATAAATATTTATGTACCTTTTGCTCCCGTAGGCACCGGAGGAAGATATGGTGGCCATACCGTTCCTGGGACTCCCCTCAGAATTTCTAATTGTGCTGCATTGATTCTTTTTGATTTGTTTAACTTAATGATGGCAGGCATACTACTGTTTATAGTTTGAACTAAGTGTGTTGGTGGGAAAACTCTATCAAAGAATCGCCTGACAATGTCAAGTGATACTTTAAAGTTGAGAAAGAAAAATCTGGTGAAGTTTTTCTCTTCTTCTGTAAGTTGTGAAATCGTAGTCATGATTACACTTTCTAGCCTCTAAGGAATAACTTTGATTTCAGTCATAAACGCTGTTTTTCATCTTTTGTCAGCATCATTCACCTATCAGAAGTATAAAAAAATGTATAAGATTCTTTAAGTATGGACAAAAGACGATGTGTGGTGTACGTTTGTTTGATGTTTCAACAATTCAACAATTCAACGGGAAAAATAACAATAGAGGTTAAGAGAAACAATAAAATCATCCCCAAATAAACAGTTAAAGTAAATGTTTCCAATGAAAAAAATCACAGCATTTAATTTAATAAGATACTTTTTAAAAATTTAAAACTATAAGGTCACCGTACGACTTTTCTTACTTTATGAGAGAAAAAGATATTGTGCATTCCTATTATAAAAATAAACTAAGTAAGGTCCCCTTTCAAGGTTAAGTTTTTTTAATCAATTCAAAAATACTCTATATCTTTAAAAAAACATTCGAAATGATAAGATCAAATCACACAATTTTCTTCATTTAAAAGAAAAATCCTCCTAAAAACTTGCATTCCTGTCTCAATTTTTTTTTATTTCATTGAAAGACTACAGTCACAGTGGGATATCCAATGAAGGAAAACAAAAGAAAATTCACTCTTCTTATGATACATGCAGAGTAGAGAAAGTCAATAATAAAACAATACCGGTGACGATACTGATCAAAAGTTATTTCTAAATAATAATTGTACATTTTAAAGAAATTATTTGTTAAACTGTGTTATTAGAAATATGCATACAAATACACGATGTTCTATGTTCAGTATTCATAATTGCTTTAGAAGCTTGTGAAACTGAAATATAAAAACTGCCAATCTTTGCTGCATATTGATAAAAAAAAATTGGAAATCGAAAGATCTTTCGAGTCACCAATTTTCTGAGTGTTCCAAAAAAGTTCTTAGCATGTTACAATTTCCCAAAGTATGCTTATTTTTTCACACCTAAGTTATCGAGCACACCAGCCTGCTCTTGTCACATGTACATTCAATAGAGAACTATTGTCTGTTCGTGAATATAAACATTTAAAGTCTGTCTGTGCAGGTTAAAAAATTAAAGATAACTATTTTTATAAAGTAGGTATCTTTCTACTATTTTGTATGCGATTTTAAGAAAAAGTCGTCTCGAGTTTTGTACAAGTATTTGCGGTCTTCTCGATCTATTCACATTCAATGTCTACATCGAGATAAGGTCTGTTTGATTTTGCTTGGTAACTTAGTTTCAAAAGTGCCAATCTTTGCTGCATATCAATCGATTCCTTTGGATTTTTTCCTCTGACTTTCTGTGATCTAGCTGTGTATTTATACGATTAATTTATTTAGCATGTTCCAGAGAGGTATACCGACGTTAAAAAAATAAATTGAAGTTGGTACTCCAGGAATTTATTTGCATTGCAACATTTTAAACCAATTTTACTCCAAGCACCTATGGCCTGCTGTACTCGTCGTTTGA